ACAAGACCCATGAGCCACAACGCTCACCTGACGTAATTAGCATATGGTGTCAACATAGCAATATATAATTAAAATTTTAATTCACATGTTTACCTTTCATTACTTGTCTTTAGAACGCAATTTAAACAGGGAATTAATGCCCTGTTCACATGAATGCGCATTGAAAATGTCATTAACGGTAAATTAATGCGAAGTAAAATAGTGCGAATCATACGGCGCATAAAAATTTAATTTCTACAGCAAGGTTATAAAGACCGTCATTTGCAAATCATATCACCTTATGCAGAGCAGATATACATTTGACAAATGTCATAGTGTCTGTACACATTTTTTAGTGATAAACTTAATTTTCCTCTGTTTTTCACTCAAAAATATTCCAAGGACTTATATCTGACCACCAGACGTGGCATAATTTTGTTAATACGCATGCGTCAAAATTTAATTCGAATTAGCTCGCTTAGCATAGTTCTGAAAAAAGTTTAGTTGAAATTGGCCCTAATTTTGTTCTTTGAGAAGATATCAAAAATGTGAAGTTTACAAAACAGACTTGAGATGAGCTAAAAACTAGAAACTGCGTAAGCAATGGCATATGTCACCACTAACTGATCCCATGGTGCAATGGTCATCAGTTTTAAAATTTCAAATGTTCAACAATTTCTTTCATTTTCCACTTTGGAAAATTTGAAACCTGACTTAAGGATGGACTTGCACATCAATATTATCCATTTGAAACTAACTGAGAAGCTTTCATATGAATATGACTAATTATCACCCAGCTGCCCTAGAGAAGATATTTAATAATTTTTCCTATTAAGCTGACATTTACATTTCAGAGCTGCCAACATCACAAAATGAAAATTTGTAAAGTAAGGTTTCATGGGGCCACTAAGGCCCTCAGTCGCTAAAGATTTCTCATGAATTGATGATTTGTAAATGGGGTTCTCCTCTTTGTTTACTTTAAAACAATGGAGATTGCAGCTGTGCATGGAAGTGGATAATGACAATACAAGCAAGCGCTGTAAGGACTATGACTTTTTTCTATTATAATGAAAACTGAAAGTGACTGACCAGCTATGAGTATTTCGGTATTAAAAACTGTAAAAATGAGAAAAATGGAAATCATAAGGGTTGGCAGCTCTGTTTCGACCCTATTTCCAACTAAACTTTGGCAGCACCCTATTCATGCTATTGTGAACAAACTTGACTTGCCCTTGATAGGAAAGCTTTCATGCAAGTTTTTTTTCTTTCCTGGTCCAGAAGTTCTCAAGATTTTTAAATGATCTCACCATATTTTGTTCATTTGATTATCCTATCCCTTTGAAAGAGGGAATGGCACATCATAAAAACCAAATGCTTTGTGGCAAGTTTGGTTGAAATTGGTTCAGTGATACTGCAGAAGTAAAAAAAAAACACTAGGTTTACAGACAACAGGCTACAGAGAGAGGCCAGACAACCCTTTATCAAACTAGAAGTATGTCCATAGGACAGAATGTCCCGCCAAGGGTACATTAGTAATGCAACATGAAAATTTGTATTAGTGTATGAAATTTGATGAGAATATCTTGAATAGTTTCTTTAAAATTGAAATCTAAAAAAATTGGATATAGATGATAAATTCTCACCAAATTATGTAGAAGTGCATAAGCTTACATAAATCTATCTTAAATGATTTTTTTAAACTAAACAAAATGCAAATTTATGAAAAGTGAGGTCAAGGTCACAGAAAAAAAAGTTCAAGTTCAAAATTTTGATGCATTTGAATAGTTCTCACAAATACGTAAGTTTGATAAAAATATTTTAAAATGATTTTTTTTGAAACAGAGCTAAACACTAATTTAAAATAAATGAAGTTAGGGTCAAAGGAAAGGTCAAGGTCAAAAATGTTGATGCAGTTGAAAAGCTTACATCAGTATGTATTAGCATATGAAGTTTGATAAAAATATTATGAATGGTTTCTTTAAACTTGAGTAAAACACAAATTGAGAAAAGTGAAGTAAAGGTCAAATGAAAGGTAACTAGAAATATGTCCATAGGACATGAATGCCCCACCGAGGGTATATGAGTAATGAAGCATTTTAACACAAATTGAGAAAAGTGAGGTCAAGGTCAAAGGAAAGGTCAAGGTGAAAAAATATTGTTGCAGTTGAATAGCTTTCATCAGTATGTATCAGCATATGAAGTTTGACACTAATTTAAGAAAAGTGAGGTCAAGGTCAAAGGAAAAGGTCAAGGTAAAAAATTGTTGATGCAGTTGAAAAGGTTACATCGGTATGTATTAGCATTTGAAGTTTGATAAAAATATTATGAATGGTTTCTTTAAAACTGAGCTAAACACTAATTTAAGAAAAGTGAGGTCAAGGTCAAAGGAAAGGTCAAGTTCAAAAAATGTTGATGCAGTTGAATAGCTCTCATCAGTATGTATCAGTATATGAAGTTCAACACTAATTTAAGAAAAGTGAGGTCAAGGTCAAAGGAAAAGGTCAAGGTAAAAAAATGTTGATGCAGTTGAATAGCTCTCATTAGTATGTATCAGCATATGAAGTTTGATAACACTATCTTGAATGGTATCTTTAAAACTGAGCTAAAAACTTATTTAAGAAAAGTGAGGTCAAGGTCAAAAGAAAGGTCAAGATCAAAAAATGTTGATGCAGTTGAATAGCTTACATCAGTATGTATCAACATATGAAGTTTGATTACACTATCTTGAATGGTATCCTTAAAACTGAGCTAAACACTAATTTAAGAAAAGTGAGGTCAAGGTCAAAAGAAAGGTCAAGGTCAAAAAAAGTTGATGCAGTTGAATTACTTACATCAGTTTATATCAAAATATGAAGTTTGATTACACTATCTTGAATTGTATCTTTAAAACTGAGCTACCGTATATACTCGCCTATAAGTCGGTTTTTTGGGAGTTAAATTTTGATTCAAAACTCTATGTCTGACTTATAGGCGAGTCATGAAAAACTAGCATTTTTTGGATTGCAACATGTAGTATTTTATAAATATTTCCGAAGATTATCGTTGAACAAAGTCTGGATATATTACATTTGTATTCTAAGATAAAGTATTAAGCACGTAAAGTACAATTGTCTACATATTTCAATATTTTTTTTTATCTTAAGTGTGCATTACTTATTTTTTTAGTATTTAAAATTAAATATTGGCATCATTTCTAAAAATGTAATTTTAACCAGGTTAAAACATCAGAGCATTGATTTGAAATTGTTAGCCGATTCTGGCAAAAAGCTGTACCGACTTATATGCGGGTCAATGGCAAATTCCTCCAACACAACCTCAAAAATGACAACCGACTTATAGGCAGACCGACTTATAGGCGAGTATATACGGTAAACACTAATTTAAGAAAAGTGAGGTCAAGGTCAAAGGAAAAGTCAAAAAATGTTGATGCAGTTGCATAGCTCTCATCAATATCTATCAGCATATGAAGTTTGATAAAAGTATCTTGGATAGTTTCTTTGAAACTGAGCTTTGAACAGAGCTAAATGCAAAGTGTGACGGAAGGACTGAAGACGGACATGACAAACACTATATGCCCCGGCCATATTCATGGCGGGGCAAAAAAAATGTTGATGCAGTTGAATAGCCTATATCAGGTCAAGGTCCGGTTGAGGTAAAAAATGTCGATACAGTTGAACAGCTCTCATCAGTATGTATCAGCCTATGAAGTTTGATAACACTATCCTGAATGTTTCCTTTAAAACTGAGCTAAACACTAATTTAAGAAAAGTGAGGTCAAGATCAAAGGAAAGGTCAAGGTCATAAAATGTTGATGCAGTTGAATAGCTCTCATCAGTATGTATCAGCATATGAAGTTTGATTACACTATATTGAATGGTATCTTTAAAACTGAGCTAAACACTAATTTAAGAAAAGTGAGATCAAGGTCAAAGGAAAGGTCAAGGTCATAAAATGTTGATGCAGTTGCGTAGCTCTCATCTATCTTGAATGGTTTCTTTAAAACTGAGCTAAACACTAAAATAGGAAAAGTGAGGTCAAGGTCAAAGGAAAGGTAAAAAAATGTTGATGCAGTTGAATAGCTTACATCAGTATGTATCAACATATAGTTTGATAACACTATCTTGAATGGTATCTTAAAAACTGAGCTAAACACTTATTTAGGAAAAAGTGAGGTCAAGGTCAAAGGAAAGGTCAAGGTCAAAAAATGTTGATGCAGTTGCATATCTCTCAGCATATGAAGTTTGATAAAAATATCTTGGATAGTTTCTTTGATACAGCTTTGAATTGAGCTACACGCAAAGTGCGATGGAAGGACAGATGGATGGAAGGTCGAAGACAGACATGACAAACACTATATGCCCCGGCCATATTCATGGCGGGGCATAAAAAGCTTACTTGAGCTACTGACTTGGGTGAGCACAATAAAATCTGGGACACAATATCTTGCATGTTCATCAGTTTTCTTTTCAGAATTTTTTTCTCTGTAACCGATCGACAAGAGATGCTTTTTCCTCCTTGCCACCTGATCCAAATGCTGGAATTTCCAGGGTTTTTGTTTTATGCTCTTGTGTGAAATACAGTCAAACCTCGTTATCTGGAACTCGATTGGACCAAGATTAAACTTCAAGATATCTGAGGAATCAAGATATCAGGGGTAAAATACTTTAGGAATGAGTGATTGGGACTTCCAAATTACTTCGACATATCCATGGTATTTGAGATATCAGTGTTTGAGATACCAAGGTTCAACTGTATATGAAATGGACAGAACATGCTATGGCTGTGTATGTTTTACGTGAATCATGAAGGGCTGATATTCTAATTAGCAAAAATTATGTGCCCTGGTCCAAGATACAACGCTTAATGTTGACCAGCATCTGTTAAAACTATATGATGCCATATATGATATATTTTGTGATAACTGTTCACTTATCATTTCCAATCAGATTGCAGCATTTAAATCTTCAATAAAATGTACTTTATTTCACTGCAGATTTTGTACTATGAAATAATGCCTCTCTATTTTTTTTTATTGCATGATTAAAAGCCTCATTAAACATTCATTAACAACAAATCATAGGACACATTTCCTGGAAAAATTGCTAAAATAAATAATATCACAGTTTAACATTAATTATCAAACCCTAGACAAAGCTATCATCAGCTACATTTGGAAAATCCTGGAGGGGGCCTAACAGATGCTACAAGCTCAGATGGAGGTCCACTGAGATTAAAACCTGGAGGTTTCCTCAATTTCTCCTGGGGTTGTACTTTTTGGTCACTATCAGTCTCACTAAGATTTAAACCTGGAGGTTTCTTTAATTTCTCCTCCGGTTGTCTTTTTTGGTTTCCGTCTGCCTCTGAGAAAATTTCCTTAACCCCAAAATCTCTGTCAGATTTTCCTTCATTAGGTTCTGACTTGATCACTTTTTCTATAAGTAGGCTTTTAGATTTTCCTTCAGTCCTGCTCTCCTGGTCTGGTATTTTCCCACTGTCCTTCGGATCACCTGAAGATCTCTGTGCTTCAGCTGAGCCTTGTCTGTGTGCTTCCTCTCTAGGACACTTCTTTTCTTTGAGATATTCTCTCTGTCCACCACTGGACCTTGGTCTTTCTTCCTCCCTGATTTTATTTTTATCAAACCTCCTTCCATCACTTCTGTTTGCATCTTTTGATGGCTTCCCAAATCCTCTCCTTGTATATTCCTTTCTAACTGATTTCTCATATCCTTCTTTAACATCCTCACTTCTCTCCATTACTGGTGGTTTTCCAAATCCTTTCCTTCTTTCCATCTGTTTATCCAACCCTTTCAAATTATCACCTTTCTCAGCATTATCTTCTTGGACTTGATTACTTGAACCCTCCTCAGGTGAATCATGCCTGTTTGTCTGTCTGTGACTTTTTTGTTGTCCTGATCTGGGTCTCCCTAACCCTTGTCTTTGTCTCTTCTCCTGAATTTTCTCCACTCTAGACTCGAAATGGCTGTCCTCCACCTTTTTTGATGCTGAAGGCTGTTCCTCTGATTTTATCTTCTCTGTGTGGTTTTGCTCTGTTTTGTTTTTCTCCATCACTTTTGATGACTGTGGTCTTCCAAACCCCTTCCTCTGCTGATTTTGCACAGACATATCCTTCTCATGTATATCTTTCTTATTTAAACATTCAGAATTGTTGAAATCCTCTGGCTGCTTTACAACTTTTTCCTCTTGTTTTTGCTGATGAGAAAAGTTTCCTCTTTCCTTGTCTTCCCGATTTTTGTCCACTTTAATACTCCATCCAAACTGTTTACCTCGGCCACGACCTCTCGGCTCTTTTCTCTTTTCATTCTGTGGCTCTTCCCTGTAACTTTTGTTAGGGCTTGATTTGAGAGTTGCCTCTTCAATGGACTGAATGAAATAAAAGAAAAAAGAAAGAAATTCTTTATAAAACCTTGCAACTCTAAAATTTACATTAGAAAAAAAAGTTTAAATCAAGGATACACAGGCTTATGAGTTGTAAGATATTTTGTGGGGATTAAAAAATATTTTTAAAATAACCACTTTAATACTTAAAATTTCATAAAACAAGTAAATTAGCAGAGCATTTGATGTGTTTGTACATATGTTGGGGGAGAGGGGGGTTAGACTGTAATCTCTAGCCAAGCCAGACCTGAGAATCAAATGAAAGAAGCTGTTCCTTCTGTATTTTGAATGTCATTAAAAAAACTTATAAATGAGATCACGTACCAGCAACTTCTGACATTATAAGAAACCACATAGGCCAACACATATACAGTATTTATACTTAAATTATATCAAAAATCTTTAGCATTCTATGGCAGTCAGATGGGTTCAATTGCCGGTGGCCAGATAGCTCAGTTTGTAGAGCACCTGACTGGAGATTCAGGAGGCCAGGATCACATTTTTCTCCTCTCCCATTACATTTGGTGCCATGCTATGACCTGGAAGTGACAGGTGAAAGACCTGTCAGGGAAGAGCTTGGGTTGGTTTCTTTGGGGACAAAGACCTTTAAGGAGGGAGGAATGTGGTGGTCAGAGGGGTATTGCCTGTAGCCAGATAGCTCAGTTGGTAGAGCACCTGATTAGAGATTCAGGGGGCCCAGGTTTGAATCCTGGTCCAGTCTGTTGCATTTTTCTCCACTCCTGTTACATTTTTATTCCCAAGAGAATACAGCAGTTCATTTGATTAAAGGGTCACCTTACTAATAATACAAATATTGAGGTAAGTTATTTTATGTTTTTATCCTGGTAAGTCAGCTGTCAAGACAGTTTTATGCACAAGTTGTCTCTCTTGTTGAAAATGTGACACAATTTTTTCTCCACATTTTTGCCCCTCTACTGTACCTCAAAGCGAGTAAATGTTCTCACAGAGGCATAAATACAATCAATCAAAATCTCACCTGAGACACAAAAAGACAACTGAGACACAAAATTTCAACAATCAGTCAATATTTCACCTGAGATACAAAATGACATACAATCAATGTCTCCGAGACACGTCAATCCGAGACACAAAATTTTATATAATCAATCAATATCTCACCTGATCAGGGGTATATCCTGGCTGAGACTGCAGGTAACACAGAACAGCTCTATAAATAAACTTATACTGGGACTCCGTCTGTACCAACCCGGGTCTCTGTGATCTGACCTTCAGAACAGACTTCTGAATGTCAAGGTTACAGTCTAATCCTACAAGGATATCATAATTAACGATTTATACACGTTCAACTAAAACATAGAAGTCACTACACAGGGCCAAGGAAATAATGAGTGGTTTATTTTAATAAGTCTATCCTACCTTGTTGTTTAATTTGATAGATAAGTGTTTCTATGACAACAAGAGTCCCTGTACGACCAATTCCAGCGCTGTAAATAAAATTAAATTAGTTCTCAACCATTCCCATCAAATCTGAGTATAAGTACACATTCCCACCATAACAGTTAACTCTGAGTATAGGATCAGTATTGTAGACAGGACCTTCACTATAAATACACATTCCCACCATAACAGTTAACTCTGAGTATAAGATCAGTATTGCAGACAGGAACTTTACTATAAATAAACATTCCCACCATAACTGTTAACTCTGAGTATAGGATCAGTATTGTAGACAGGACCTTTACTATAAATACACATTCCCACCATAACAGTTAACTCTGAGTATAAGATCAGTATTGCAGACAGGAACTTTACTATAAATAAACATTCCCACCATAACTGTTAACTCTGAGTATAGGATCAGTATTGTAGACAGGGCCTTCACTATAAATACACATTCCCACCATAACAGTTAACTCTGAGTATAAGATCAGTATTGTAGACAGGACCTTCACTATAATACACATTCCCACCATAACAGTTAACTCTGGGTATAGGATTAGTATTGTAGACAGGGACTTTACTATAAATAAACATTCCCACCATAACAGTTAACTCTGAGTATAGGATCAGTATTGTAGACAGGACCTTCACTATAAATACACATTTCCACCATAACAGTTAACTCTGAGTATAGGATCAGTATTGTAGACAGGACCTTCACTATAAATACACATTCCCACCATAACTGTAAAGTCTGAGTATAAGATCAGTATTGTAGACAGGAACTTCACTACAGTGTGATGATTTCTACACTGACCTACAATGGATGACCATCGGGCCGGCTTCTGACAGTTCCTCTTGTTTGATGTTAACCGTTTCCAGGAAGTGGATGATACTGCTGGGGTTTCTGGGTACTCCAAAATCAGGCCAGGCTGTGTAATTAAACTGGTACACTAACCTGGTTCCCTCTATCTGTGGAGCAAAGCAGAAATGCATGAAAATTAGAGTGTCCTTAACCAAGACTCCCAAGGCACAACATTCAGCAGCGAGTCTTTGTTCTTCCCAGGAAATGAAGTCCCTAACAATGTGTGAATACTTCTTGATTAACCCTTGCTTTTAAACAATGGACTTTGGTTATATAAATAGAATTCTCCAAAAAACTGAAAGTCCCTTTTTCTGTCATATCATTGCCTTAGGGTTTATAATTTGAATAAATTAAAGAGTCAAAAGATATGACAAATTATTTTTTGCTTCTTAATTTTTTTTTTATTATTATAAAAGAGGCATTTTCTTTTCTCTGACTCAAGTGAGCATGTATCAAGGAATGTCCATACATCCTCAAATCTCTCAACAAATAAGTATACAAGCATCATATCTGTATGTCCCAGTGCAACTCACCGTGTCTGTTGTGGAATATTTGGATACCTCCATCTCTCTGAGGATGTAGTCTTTGTGTGTAATGACAGCTTTACCCTTCACTAGGAACTTGTAATTTTTTCCCTCCAAGACTTTTTCTTTCCCAGCATCACACCAATAACAAGCCACCTTGACCTAAAAACAGTAGTGTCACAATGGCTACTCACTATCTATTAAATAAATATTATTTCAATAATGAAGGAGGCTTTCCTAGTTACCCTGTTGTCTTCCTGCTCCTTGGTTGCCATGACAATGACCTGTGACTTTTCCTGCCAGACCATTCTCCAGAGGTCCCCAACCGTCTCAGGGAGGCACCCCTGGGTAGCGATGACACGCCCCCTGTCCACTCTCTCACTCTCACTGACCACCTAACATTAAAAATGTGTCATTAAAAAGTCCATATTTAACTGTCACCATAACTAAGGATATAACTAAGGATATGAGATAAGGTTGTAAGGTTCTAAGAGTTTAGATTACAAGATAAGGTTGTAAGGTTCTAAGAGTTTAGACTATGAGATAAGGTTGTAAGGTTCTAAGAGTTTAGATTATGAGATAAGGTTTTAAGGTTCTAAGAGTTTAGATTACGAGATAAGGTTGTAAGGTTCTAAGAGTTTAGATTACGAGATAAGGTTGTAAGGTTCTAAGAGTTTAGATTATGAGATAAGGTTTTAAGGTTCTAAGAGTTTAGATTATGAGATAAGGTTGTAAGGTTCTAAGAGTTTAGATTATGAGATAAGGTTTTAAGGTTCTAAGAGTTTAGATTATGAGATAAGGTTGTAAGGTTCTAAGAGTTTAGATTATGAGATAAGGTTGTAAGGTTCTAAGAGTTTAGACTATGAGATAAGGTAGTAAGGTTCTAAGAGTTTAGATTATGAGATAAGGTTGTAAGGTTCTAAGAGTTTAGATTATGAGATAAGGTTGTAAGGTTCCAAGAGTTTAGATTATGAGATAAGGTTGTAAGGTTCTAAGAGTTTAGATTATGAGATAAGGTTATGCGGTTCTAAGAGTTTAGATTATGAGATAAGGTTGTAAGGTTCTAAGAGTTTCTAAGACAGTAAGTTTATAAGAGGCTTGTCAGAATATCTGTAGAACAAACAAGAAGTCTGTGAGCCAATGCTCACTAGTAGTACGCCTGCTCTGAAGTGAATACGCTGTACACAAGTTCAGTGGTTAGCACGGATAAACACGAAGTTGACATTGGATTTGTACAAAAATGTCTCACACCATATACCATGCCAAAACAAAGAGTGTGCTTAAATTTTAAGCATCTGCAAAGAGTAGTTGCTGAGAAAACAGTGATGATTTTTTTATGGACAGACAGAAACACAAGGGTTAAACTAAACAGTATACCACCCTTTCCTTCAGAGCGGTGGTATAATTAATGCAAACATGCTTAAAGAAAATTTATGCAAAAAGAAAATAAGATATTACATCCAGTATCTGACTCTTAATAATAAATGAAATATTATCTAGCAGACTTAGTGAATTCTGGGCTGAAAAAGAATCACTGTAACAAACACACACAATTTCATAGCTTTTTTTTCAAAGTAAATATACACAGTAACATACTGACCAGTATATGTATGTACACCAACACTGTTTACATATAACATATAGACATACAATGTCCATAAATACCCATGTGTAGACATAATCTGTAACATTACCTGTATGTAGCTGGCACATATATAGTCAGAGCCTTTAATTTCTGGATCTCCATCACTCAAAACAACCCTGGTGTTGTCAACTAAAATAAATCATAAAACAGCATACATTTCATTATTTACATACATTACGATCATGAATGAATCCCCACCCTCTGCTTTCATAAGAATTTTCTGTGTCAGTATCCTAGGATAAGAATAAAGAGATAAAAAAGCACAAGCACTAAATATATTGATTACAGTTAGGCACTCTTACAGCAAAATGCCAGAAAAGAACAATTTTGATTCATTACTGGTACATGTATATATATGTCATATGGTATATTGTTCATAAAGTGTTTTAAAAGCATATGGAATGAAAATATTAAACTTGGTTATAATACTCAATTCATTTTAAGTGAGTTTGCTGTAACATGTTTCACTACATTTAAATTATTTTTAATGGGTCAATCTTCAACTTCTCAAAGTTTTTGATTTCTCATACAGGGATTTATCAGTACCTTCTCAGGGGCCGAAATTCGGCCCCATTCCCAATTGAAAATGAGTTCATTTTTTTCCCAATTTGGCAGTATTTTTTCCCAATTGGTGAACAATGCTTTTATATTTAATTATCTTGGAAAAACACTAAGTAAAATTGTCAGAATGTCTGTAATTTTCATCTATTTAACTCGTTTTGCAAATCTACAGTCAAAACACGTGTTTAAAAACACTGTAAAAACATCGCCAACTTTTAATCCGAATTTCCTCCGTTTTTTCTGAAAATGGTGATATTGTGTTATTATATAGATTTATTAAGTTATTTCTACCTACTCAATTGATCTATGAGTGAATGGTAAGGACTGTAGGCATTATTTCAAATAGAAAAATATATTTTCAATGCATAATAATACATATTAAAAGAGGACTTTGAGAAAATGTGTACTTCTTATAATATTTTACAGGAGGTTTATAATCAGATTCTATAATGACCTAAATTGGAATCTCATACACATATGTACTACCCTAAGTTGTATAAACACTTTATACTCTTTGAATTCAATTTTACTTTTATTAGCCTATTATTCATAATTGATCTTGTATGATGTTGGATCATGATTGAATTGTCTGTTTGGTTGCCCAAATTAGAGTTCATTCTGAAATGTTAAATGAATTACACCTGAATACATGATTTAAGCAACATTTTTAATTTTTCCCAATTTCATCAAAAAGCCGATAATTTTTTCCCAATTCCCCAAAAATGGCGTTTCCCAAAATAGGCTGATAAATCCCTGTCATAGTAAGGAGTTGTCCAATTTTGTTCCCCTTCCAAACCAGCAAATTCACTGTCTCAAAGGTGTGTTCTCTGAACAGCTACCACAAGTAATTTTGTAGAATGATTAAGAGGCCCTCTAAGGGGGAAGGGGTAGAATTTAGAGTATAGAATTATATAGAATACAAAAGTTTAGAAATTGATATACATAAAGTCAGAAGAGGAGAAGGAGTTTTGTTTGGAGGACGTATCAAACATTAACACTAGATAAAATTGTTGTACTCATAGGGCATTATAGATGTTTAATTCTATTGTGATTACCAAATATTTTCAATTAAGAACCTGTGTTTTTTTTGGGGGGGGTGGGGGGGGGGCTATTACACATATAATAAACTCAAGATAAAATTTTAGAACTCACAAGGAACTAAGTGTTTGAGCCTGTTCTTATGACGATTTTCTGGTCTCTGACCCTCCCTCTTACTTCCTCCTGATGTCATCATATAATTCAAGGCCTGCAAGAACAAAGGGCAATTAATCACTATTTGTTATGAAATAGTCTGGATCTCCCTACAATCTCACTTACGAGTAATACATGTATCTGAAAGCTGTGGATCAGAAAAGCCTTGACATTTGAACTTGATGGTTAAGTTTAATTAATAAATAATATTACAGATCTCTCATTCTGCATGTAAGTTATTCAGTGAATAGCCTGAAACCAGTAAATAAGCAGCTTTGAAATTTTTTTTAATACCTGTCCAATACTTTATACTTTCAACTGTAAATGATTTTAAAAGTGTACCATTATGACATGACAATGTTACATAGTATTAACATTAATTCATTGGGTGTGCATTTCAGAATGTAAATCTTTTAAGAAAGCAAATTATTAGTTTAGCTTCCTCTTTTAACCATTTTAGTTAAAAATATTTAAAATTAGAGGCATTGACATTATGATTCTTCCATACCTCAAACTCCTCTGAAAATTCAGTTTGTCTTCTCTCATTTCCCTTCTCCAGCTTTTGAATTAGCTCAGTTAGTTCTCTGGCTCTAAAACTGGTATCCCTTGGTGACTGCTGGGAAAATATACACGCAATACATACACAGATGCCAAATTTTGTACTGCTGATCAGAACAAGGGGCCTGAATAAGTAGAAAATAATGTAGTTACCTTTGGTTTACCCTGTACTTTGGTCTTTGCTGGTCTTTCTCTGTCATTTTTGACAAACTCTTTCCCCCGACCCTTGCCAGGCATTTTACCAACTTCTGTGTCTCTTGAAACCTGGGACTCTCTCCCTCGACCCTTGCTAGGCATGTTTCTGCTTTCGGTGTCCTTTGTGATTGGGGATTCTCTCCCCTGATTCTTGGTGGAGGTGTTACTTATTTCTACCACATCATCCTACAGGGAGCAGAAAACATATTCAAGAGAAAAACAGATACAAGACACTATAAATATATATATTTCTTACCAGAGACTTAAAGTAACAGAAGCCTGCAAGATTTTGAGGAAAACACAAAAACACTTATATTTTTAAGATAAATCCTTTTAACAAATTATTCAGAATTAAATATTTTTATAAGTTACTTACTGCAGTATAAAAATGAACTAGAAGCTTCAATAGACAACAGGTGACCTGTGGTCAGCCAGGTCTCAGAGATTTTACTAACTTTCAAGTTTTTATTCAAAATTGTCTCATTTGCTTTTGTTCATCAATGTACAGTTTCAAAACTTTAAAAATCCTGCAGGCCATACGTAAAAGAATTACATAAGCTTCACTTTAGATCAAAATTTAAGACCAGTCTAAAGTTCTTTTAGGAATAACTCTTCTCTCTTTGTTTAATGAGGACTATTAAATTTTTGTTTACTATCCTCTGTAATGAGGAATCTGCTTTTCTACTCACATACATACATATCCCCAACCTTCTCTGTGAAGACTACCACCCCTTTCTCTTTGTCTGTGAGGATTACCACCCTTCTCTCTCTCTGTGAGGATTATCATCTTTCTCTCTTTGTTTGTGAAGACTACCATCCTTCTCTCCCCATCTGTGAGGACTACCACTTTTCTCTCTCTCTCTGTGAGGACTATCATCTTTCTCTCTCTGTCTGTGAGAACTACCACCTTTCTCTCTCTCTCTCTCTCTCTCTCTCTGTGATGATTACCACACTTCTCTGTCTGTGAAGACTACCATCCTTCTCTCTCCATCTGTGAGGATTACCAACTTTCTCCCTCTCTCTGTGAGGATTACCACCCTTCTTTCTCTGTAAAGACTACCACCCTTATCTCTCCATCTATGAGGACTACCATCCTTCTCTCTCTCTGAGGATTTCCACCATTATTTCTCCATCTGTGAGGACTACCACCCTTATCTCTCTCTTTGTGAGGACTATGATCTTTCTCTCTCTCTCTGTGAGGACTACCACCTTTCTCTCTCTCTCTCTGTGAGGATTACCAACCTTCTCTCTCTCTGTGAGGACTACCATCTTTCTCTCTCTCTTTGTCTCTCTGTGAAGACTATGATCTTTCTCTCTCTCTCTCTGTGAGGACTACCATCTTTCTCTCTCTCTTTCTCTGTGAGGACTACCATCTTTCTCTCTGTGTCTTTGGTGACTACCACTCTTTTTTCTCTCTCTAACAATAGAGGACTGCTATATTTTTGTTTACTTACCTCTGTGATGAGAAATCTGTTTTTCTCCTCCTCCACATCTATGACCCCACCGTTCTCTCTCTGTCTGTGGAGGAGCCTTTTCATCTTCTCCTGCCAATTCCTCATTTCATCAGTCAGGACAAAGGACTGCATCTGGTCCTCAGGAGTAATCTCCCTTGTTAGCATGTCACTGTTGCACTCAATCTCCTCACGGCACACAGGGCATGGAACCTACAAAAGTTATTCATACTGGAGGTCACTTACAAAGGAAACACTTTAGACATACTTGTGGATTCCCACTTGTATTTAAAGAAGCATACTTAGCAGTTTCCTTTTTTGTATTTTCTAAAAAACATCTGCTCTAGTTACCTATTATCCAACATTTTTATTTTTCATCAGTTATTTTTACAGTCATGTAAGCTTCATGGTTTACTCCTACAAGGAGAGATAAAAACCTGAAGCAAAACCAATTGGAATCCTTGTTTCTACACAGACCTTTGTTTGGTCATCATCTCCTATATGATGTGTAGGCTTTGAATGGTTCTCCTGTTGGATGGTATCCAGCACATGCTTGATGTAGCGAGAAAGACACTGACAGTGAAAGTAATGGTAACACGTAGTTTTAGTGAATTCATCCCCTTCATGAAAATATTCATAGCAGATAGTACATGGACAATGAGGAATGTTTCCCTCTGTCAGACTATCCTTGGCCAACTGGAAAACATAAGTAATGTCAAAGGTAATAACATATTCCATTTCCTTTATATCTATTTAATTCATTAATATGTTCATGCCTAGGTGTCATATTGCTGAAAGAATTATCCTGATGACTTACCTCAATCAAGTCATACAACATTGGACCACCCTGAAGTTCTGTTGCCAAGCTTATCAAAGAAGACTGCAACCTGATGCAAAAAAAAAAAACTAGACTTTATCAAAAATAAGAATGAAGTATACATGTATGTACGAGGGGTTATCAAAAAGTTCGTGGACTAGCGCCATAAAATTAAAACCGCTTTAGGTACATCAATGAATTTAAATACATTTAGTTAGCATCATCTTTTCTATCGATAGAATAAACCATAAATCAAAAGTTTTATTTTTTTAATAAATTGTTATTGTTTTTGTAAGCAATGGTACGTCCAAGCGGCGCAACCTCAAATATGACGTTTTTTCTACCTGAGTGCAACTGAGAAAAACTCTTTTGATATGAGCATTTATCGTCAAAAAATCCGGTTAATCCAGGCATGTGATAATCCAGGCATGTGGTACAACACAATTGTTCCGTAAAATTTGCAATTTTTACCCCATTCTGTAAATTCTATGAAATTTTATCGTAAGTTTATATGGAGTGTACAAACAATTAAGGGCTCAAAAATGACGTCAAAAAAGGGGGAGAGGTTTCTGTTTCCAACATTCTTTAAAGTTTCGCACCTGGAAAAACTGGTATAGAACTAGGGAATGTTTAAAGGAGCTACAGAAAAATAAAATACATCCAGAGTACTCGTTTTAAATAGCCAAAAAGATTCAGAGAGATAAAAGATGCACAGTTAAAGTCAATTTGTAGTGTCAAAAATCAGTCACGTCGAAAAGTGACGTTGATCATGTGTGGTAGAAAATGAACTCCATCAAGCTAAGTATTCTGGTATAATCAAGTGAGGATCTTTCATTATGTATAGATACATTTACAATATTATATGCATTGAAAGCAGCTGTTCATGACATTGTAAAGTCATATAAACAAAACGGACTTAAGTCCTTACTTAACTCCAGGTAATCACATCAAGATAAGTGTATAAGGTAGACGGAGCGGACATTGAGAAACAATGACGTTGTGGGACGTCATGAAACTAAACGGCGACAGCGCCGGGTGATCATATAATGCCTTTTTTATTTTAGAATAATTTGGCAAATTACCAACGTATCAAGATAAAATTTTCAACATTTCTTAAACATTTGTTGATTTATGTTTTTCATAAATTTTGTAAGCACAGACTACATAGTATTAATTTTATCGCATCAGTCCACGAACTTTTTGATAACCCCTCGTATATCCTACGGCAAATCAATTTTGTATTTTACTACCAAGTAAATCATTTTGAAAGATAATTTTTATGATAAGCTTGATTATGTCATTTGCTGTGTGACTATATGACCTTCAAAGCTACATATATGACCTACTGACCTATTGACCTCCTCCTCCCCAACCCCACGTGGATTCTTGATGTCAATGCTGGGAATCTCATGAGGATACTGTAAATCAGAAAATCAGATGTTAGAAACTCAAACAAATGAAACTCAAAAGTGTGATATTACTTATTAAGAAGAGGATTAGTTTTGAATTTTAATGTTTAACATTAAAAGAGGTGAAGAAAATGTATAGACACAATCCAATACATGCTCTAATGCTACAAAGAGTAAAAAACAAAACAAAACAGTCAATATTAAAAAATGATGTATAATTGAGCATTTTTAAAAACATAATCTTGACAGGAGATGTGTAAAACCAATGCAGAGATTCACAAATGTACACTGCAATGTTTTTTTGTGGAAAATTAGATATCCAATTCTATGTCTAGCCACTTTTTATCTGACAACATCCTTACCCTATGAGTTGGCTGTAAGACTAGTGTAATACAGACATATTTCTTTTCCACTTCATCTCCTGTAGAAGGGTGTAACTGAAGACTGATAATTTCTGGCCAACCACTAGAATATAACATCTTATTAGGTACAATAAACACCTCTACTTTAGAAAAGATGAGTCAAAAAAGACAAATTAAAGTTTTTACTGTCATGTTCAAAATTTTGCATTACCTTCACCAAGGAAATTCAAAATTTACAAAATGGTAGCACTTTATGTGCATTATCTTGACATATTTTTTTTTTTAAATTTGTTATATTATAAAACTATATCGTATATCAGGCCTTACAAAATCTGTTGGTACCTGGTATTATACCCAGCTGAATTCATGACTGTACCAGCCAAAATATTAGCTGGAGAAAAATTTGATAACATTTTATTAAAATCACTTCCACAAGGTACCTCTTTCTTATCTTTTTAGTTTTATGAAGATTTGTCAAGTTCAAAATGCCAGTATTTCAACTCTAAATTTCTTTTCTTTCTATTTGTTCTTGTAAATGGTATCAAAAATCTGATATGAGCTTTTGAAGTTTGAAGAGGCAGATCAAAGTTACAAGTGTAAGCTGTGTAAAGAATTTTGAAGGTTAGATGAGGTACAAATCGACTGAGGTGTAATGAGTGTTATGGTAGAACTGCGCTTGCCCCGATGACCACAGTGTGAAACATAGTTAGAATAATCTAACTGTGTCTCGGGACAGGCCCTCACAACAGTTAGAATACCACCCATATACTTGCAATGTAGCAAAAAATTGCAGAATTGCTCCGAAATGATTTTGGAGAAAATTAATTAAGTTGCATTGAAAATAACAGTCAAATTAATCACAACAAACCTTTTTGAGACTGTAAATACCTTTCATCTAAAAATTTAATCCATATAATGGAAGAATTCAATTTTCACCAACGTTTTTGTACTCGTTTCAAATTTACACACCATGTTGACATTCGGAACTCTCGGGATTTTTCATAGTTAATGCAATGAGTTAGAGTTATCTACCGTTTTTTCTTTGCTACAAAGACAATACACGGAATGCATTCTATCGTTAAACCGGGTCTGTAGGACATTTATCATTTTAAAGATAGAACATTCTATCTATGTGAAACATATTACAAAATCACTAAAATACTTAATAAAAACAAAGTACCCTCTTGTGTCAATTCATCTTTTCCCGTATAATATACTGGACACAAGGAATATATCATTGGTAATTTAACTTGCCAGAATGTGTTGCTGTTTACCTTTCAGTTGTTTTCAAACTCAGTTCATCAATATATATAGATTTCAACACTTCCAGCTCCTCAGTAATCCCACTACCAAAGTAAAAATCGAAATCAATATACTTAAATGTAAAATAAAACATGCAGAAAATAAATACAAGTTTTACAAAGAACAAGTTAATACAAATAAATGATTAGGCACAGTTAGCACTATACACGGTTTACTACGTTACATTGCCTATGTTCTAAAATAAACCCCAGCGTGTTACACTTTTTATCAATATTATCTTTAATTTTATATTTTGTTATTCGTGATTTCATCAATGAAATAAACAAATAAATTAGTCTGTGGTTAACATCAAAACATCAAGATGACATGCCTGTCTACATCCACATCGTCAGCCATTTTTTTTTAAAGCTCTGCACTTCGATCCCGACCTATTAAGAAACTGGGAAATATGAAATTATATGGATCTCTTTTTGTGGATTATATGGATTACCACCTTTTTTATGGATTTTTATATGGATTACTTTTAATGAAATGAACACATACACACGATATGAATGACATGTATCTTTGTTGTATGTCCAGACACATAACATCTTTTTTCAAAGGGGGGGGGGGGGTATTATAATTGACCCCCCCCCCCAAATCCATACTAATTATTTAGTAATTACAAATTAAAAGCAAAAGATTACTCTTAAAAAAAGATCCCCGCCCAGCCCCCGATATTATGTGTCTGCTGATGTCCACTTGTTCTCTTCGCTAACGAAGGTAAAAGTACATGTATGGACAAAATGTGCACAGCTAATCCCCCACACTTTTGTTCTAACTTGAATTAAACTACACCCTGATTCAAGTTTCTTACCAACGAGGTGTACAACTGTAAAAATAAAACTCGAAGAGAAATTTCGCGGTAAAAAATGTCGAACATTGGAAAGACTGTAAAGTAGACAAGTATTATTATAAGAAATCTAATTTGCATCAGCATGCAGACACTGCAGAATCCTGGCAAACGTATGGATACACTATATCTCTGAAAGTTGATGCAATAAGTAAGCATGGTAAACGTGCTTTGGGAGAACTTTCGCCTGTTATTTTAAAGGAAGAGTTAAACATAATCTTTTTATGATTTTTTTTTCTGTTTTGATGGAATTAAGGAACTCAGAGATGGTGAATTATCCTATCTGTTAATGTAAAAAGTAAAGTTGATGTACCAGTCCATGGGATTTATAAACGTTCCGTATCAACGTCATCTTACATAAATATATTCTCTAAAAGTTAAGATGAATATCATCCATATCCTACATGATTTTTGGATCAAATGAGTCGCTTTGAAACATCAAAATTCATGTCATCTTCTATATTCCTAGATATTCAGCCTGCAAACTGTTTGTAAGCGATACAGGAAAATTGTAAAATCCGACCTTAGTCATATAAAATACAACTTAAGAATTCCTTCTTTACTCATCTGGCAGGTATAGTTTGTTTGCATGCCACTAGAATGAGAAATTACTCTTTACAATCCAAAATTATGAAATTCACGTCCCGTGGGTCAAGGGTGGGGCTCGTTGGTCTAATGAAAATATACAATTCAGTATATTTGAAAGTCGTATTTATTTCCGAACGTTTAACAAGCAACCTGTATGCATGTTGGCAGTAATTAATCTATGGGTAATTTTTCAAACTGCGTCCCATGCTCAAAGTCCAGGGTGGGGCTAACTTGATGAATTAAAAGAATTTTGATAAGATGGACAATGACCAAAAACTCATATGGCTAATGACCACTGAAAATGCTGACATTCTTACTCGAATCTGAAAATGATTCAGAACAATGGAATATGATTCCAAAAAAAATGTATCCAACTGTATTACATTTCAAGTTATATTCGATATTTTACACTGTCTTGGCTACTTAATTGGGGTACAAGTGATGTACCCCCTGTATAGTCAGACAAGTTTTCCTTCTGTAAGCATATATACATGTACATATTGTGTGTGTGTATTTATTTGTATATAATTGTATACGAGTAAGTATATATACACTGTATGTAAGTGTGCACTTGTTTATATACATGTATCTGTTCATATTTGGATGTAAATGTGGACAGTGTATTATATGTGTGAATGTGTATCATGACTACACTAAACATTATCCAGTTTAATGTTATCTATAATACTCCTTAAACTACTTATGTTTCTTAAATGTACAGCAAATTGGTTTTTCTAATTTCCTGTGACTAGTAATTTAATTCTGTTAGCTGAGAACTTCTGCAAGTGAGGATCTGGGCAATATTTTACTTAATGCAAACATTACTTGTTATAATAGTAATCATATCATTGTTTTAATTAAATGTACATACGCCCTGAGGGTCAAAGATTGGTGAATAAACACACAGTATAGTATATTTAAAAAGTATTTTATCTTTAAAATCATTAAATGGAATGTGAAACGTTGCAATATTCGATCTTTTCCATTTGTATTGAATAACTTTTCATTTGTACAAATAAAAAAAATTATACAATTCAAATAGAAAATGATAGAATTGCAAATGGAAAATTATAGAACACAATTACAATTATACAATACAAATGAAAATTATACAATACAAATTGAAAATTATGCAATACAAATGGAAAATTTTACAAGGCAAAAGGAAATGATCGAATATTGCAACGTTTGACATGCCAAACTTTAAAAAGACGACAAGCTTTGTGATAATTATCATATGTTAAACAAATCGTAAAATTCGTTTTTTATATGTCCAAAATTCTAGTTTCACTGATCTAGTGGGATTGAGTAAGCCATAGCCCAACAACTTCGTGATACTCAGGTGAGCTTCAAGGCCCATTGGCTTGTTGTTTTTTTTAATAAAACAAAAGTACCGTAAGGAGTACAAGTTTGGCTAAATTATCGCTGTATTCGAGGATTTTATTTTTAAAACTTTAAGCCCGATTATATAATGGAATACTTTGCGCATAGTATTCCAACTGGTTGTGATAATGATAAATCACACATTAACTTGGTAAATGTCTTTGATTGGCAAAGCATAAACAAGATGCACTTTTCATTTACTTTGAAATTAATATCCCCCCTCAATACAAAGGGAAAAGTAAAGAAAAGTATAATGTGATTGACGCATTTGACAACAGTCCAAAAAACCCTTTAAAATATTTCTGATATACCTGCATGAAATAAACGTCAATGCGCAAACATGGAATGAATAATTTTACATATACATTTGAAAGAAATGTTTTAAATAAGTCTTGTCCCTTTAAAAACAAATAATTCTGAAGCAATTAAAAACGAGGACCCAACACGATACGTTCCAACTGATTTGGCTCACTGCATACAAAACGTCACGTAAAAGTACATCTCTTCCTCAGATTGATAAATGCTTGGAACCTGTATCATACGAAATCACTTTAAAACGTCGAAAATTAACTTCCGTGATTTTTTTAAGTTACACACGATCCATGTAGATCTGTGGAACTAACCTTAAAGGGACAACAGAAACCTATGTGATCGATTCTGGTGGCGGATCAAAAAGTTAAATACATGTATCTATTACTTTTAGATTTATACTTTTATTATACTAGGGGGTGTGTAGGGTTGCATGTGTTAAACTAACGTTAACATGCCTGAACTTCGAAATAAGAAAACACAACGACTATAAATTAGTGGTTGGCTAGATACATGTAAATATAAAATTGTTGAAATGCAGCATATTTAAAGCCCTAAAATTCAAATTGATTAGACCTATACCATTTTTTTTTTTATAATTTATTAAATAGAAAGGAATCCTTTTGACATATCCTGAGCTGGAAGAATTTTAAAGAAAATTCACAATTGACCTTTTGTTATAGCAGGAGCTGATGCTCCTTTTCTTCTATGGGGATGCAAGTGTATATTGTGAAAAGGGGGGGGGGGATCTTGCTCAAGAGCTGATGTAAATGTGGTATTTAACACTTCAAGCTCCCTACATCTTACAGAAGAAATTTCTAGGACGATGATTTAAAGTCCTTTTCATAGTATTTTTATTTTCCCAGGTGAAACTAAATTTTTGACACCGATTCATGTACTTCTGAGTAGCCAGACGTGAAAATGAAAACATCAAAGAACATATACAATTTGGTACTATATGTATATAAATTACGTAAATAATCCCTTATGGCTAAATGAAACAAGAAATAACAATTGCTGGATTGCAAGGAAAAAGAATAACAAATAAAAAGCTTAGAAAGATCTAATTTTAATGTTAAAAGCAGGTACATTTGTAAAAAGAAGCTGAGCAACTCTTTTGTTGGATATACATGTATATTTCCCTCTTTGGAATAATTGGTATAAATAAACTTCACGTATTCTTCATTAAAAAAATATAAATGTACAAGACTACTCTCAATCAACAAATCTCGTATAAATTCACAATTATCGAGGTACAAAAAAGGTAACTGAATAACATTTACATTCTACTCGTCTTTAAATCTAGACCTGCGTAGTGTGTACGGAAGCATTACCGAAAAACAAATCAGTACCGAAAGTATATCATAACTTTTCAATAGATTATTCAAAACATGTCATGAGAGATTTGTTGGGTGTTGTCGCCAATTCCGTTTACATTCCTTTGTTCTTTTATCTTTGGAATGTCCTCGCTTTCTTTTTTCCCCGGTATAGTTCAGGTACACCGGTGTCACTTAGCTGACACATAGTTCCGCATTAATGATAAAGTATATATATATATATATATATATATATATATATATATATAGTATAACTGGCATTCTATTCAATTATAATATATAATTATGAAAAAAGATGTATAAAGAAATAAAAAAAAAAAAAAAAAACAAAAAAAAAAAAAAAAAAAAAAAAAACAACCAAAAAAAAAAACAAACAAAAAAACAACAAGAAAACAATACAAGAGATCCATGGGCTATAGCGCTCACCCGAGTAACTTTGGCTCTGATGTTCTTCACCAGATTTACTCCCTTTTAATACTTATTGTTGCTCCACTCTATATCCGGGGGTGATTTGAACAATTTAGAATCTACACTACCTCAGGAAGCTTCCATATAAGTTTCACCTTTTCTGATCCAGTGATTCATGAGAAGAAGATTTTTCCTATATATATATTTCAAAGTTAAACTTTGATTCCCTATTGTGGCCCAACCCTACCCCCGGGGGTCAAGCTTTGAACAATTTAGAATCTACACTTCCCCAGGAAGCGTCCAAATAAGTTTTGATTTCTGGCCCGATGATTCTTAAAATTTTTCTTATATATTTCAATGTAAAACTTTGATTTCCTATTGTGGTTCCACCCTATCCCCGGAGGCCAGTATTTGAACAATTAAGAATCTACGCTTTCTCAGGAAGCTTCCACACAAGTTTCATCTTTTCTGGCACAGTGGTTCTTGAGAAGTGGATTTTAAAGATGTTTCCTAAATATTTCAATGTAAAACTTTGATTCCCTATTGTGGCCCCGTCCTACCCCCGGGGTACATGATTTGAACAGTTTAGAATCTACACTTCCTCAGGAAGCTTCCACATAAGCTTCAGCTTTTCTGACAAAGTGGTTCTTGAGAAGAAGATTTTTTAATGACCTCACCCTATTTTTGTCTTTCCTTGATTATCTCCCCTTGTAAGAGGGCTTGGCCTTTCATTTTAAAAATTTAAACTCTCCTTAACCAAGGATGCTTTGTGCCAATTTTGGATAGAATTTGTGGTTCAGGAATTTTAAGATGTTGAAAATGTGAATAAATATAGGAAAATTATTAAATATGTGAACGCAGTTATAAACCTCTCGGTCTGAAAGTGCACATGTATGTGTGTGTGTATACTAAAAGCTATGTGAAGTCAAATGTTTTTTGAACTATATATATCATAATGGTTTTAGTTTCAATGCTGGTTTAAGAAATGTTTCTAATAATTCAAATGTAAACCCCCCCCCCAAGCTGAGTCGACTCTCTGAATCTCCCAATAATTTCACTAGACATTTGGGATAAAATTATAAATATACAAATATACTCCTTGTTCTGCCAAGATAAAAAGTTGTATGGAAAATATGGTTCCCAGTGATAATACAACTAGATTCCAAAAAGAAAGATGCATAACAAATTCAATATGAAAATCTGCGTTAAAGTCAGTTGCCATTTGGTGGATCCAGAAATAGGGCAGGGCGTGTCAAAGTTTGGTTGGCCCGCACACAGTGACGTCACATTCCCGCCGGAGGCTGCAGACGTGTATCGTGTGTATTCATCAGGTTCAGCTACAAACCAATTCACACCCACCAATCTAAGAGAATTGTCTGACACAAAGCTGGATATGTCGAACAGAAATCTGAAAGAAACATTATATTGTGGTAAATGTTAAGGTCTTTTTAATGATGTAAATGGATTTATAAATAAGTTTTTAAGTTTTATTCAGCCATCTATGAACAGTCGCAAATTCAAGAAAAAGTTATTATTTTTGTTAGTTTATAAATGTAGAATCACTAACTGTATACGCAATATAGAAGATTTGTTTAATTCTTGAAAAAATACGAACAACGGAAAAAATGTGCGAACACGTACCCACTAAAGATTGATATAAAACATGTATATTAATTTAATATGAAAAGGAATGAGTACAAAGAAGAAGTAAATTGTTGGAACCCCAAACCAATGATTGGTCAGTTCTGGTACTGAGGCAGTAGCGGATCCAGGATTCTTGAAAAAGGGGGTGGGGGAGGTGGGGGTGGGAGGGACCACAGAAAACCTTGATTTATTTAAATTTTATGTATTATTTTTATACACAATTGGGGGGGGGGCTTGGGTCCCCTCTAAATCAGCCAGTGTGATGTAATTGTATATAAATTCAGCTGGGAAAAACAAATACATGTAGGTGTCATACTGTACCTTGAGTTTGGGGGAGTAGTGTAGTTTCCGGTTTCACTGGTATTTACAGTGTCAGTTTGCTCGTAAAGCAGGAAATAGTAATAATGAGCAGCGTCAGGGGGGCGTGGCCCTCTATACGACTGCGCTGTGTATCCCTCCGCAACCCTTCCCTCGGGAATATTCACAACCATCCAGTGAAGAAGAGGGCGTTCCTGTGTCCCCGCAGTGGACCTTGGAACATCCGGGTCTACACATAACAGAGTGAATGTCTTACCTGCAAACAAACCAATGCTTCCATTATATGTTTTTAAACAATTTTTTTGCTTATAATTACGTATTGGGCAATGTAGTTAACGGTTTCATGATACATGCATGTATAGCCTGTTTATGTAGTCATTTGGCTAAGTGTCTACAAATAAGACGGATTCTTAATCTACTATGGACTATATCATGATAAAAATGTAGCCATTGCACAAATGTTAAATCTATATCAAACTACCAGTGAAGTTTTTCATCTGATTGTAAAATCCTAAAGCCATGAAGTCAGGAACAGGAGTGGCGTCAGATCGAACATCCCACGAGTCAACCGAAGCGTCACCTAGCGGATTCAGTTTGAATGTCCGAGACCTATGAAACCAAAGGAAGTTATAAGACACCAAAGACAGTCTGCAAGTTATATCAATGCAAAGCTTAATTAGCTGGAAGCGCTAGATGGCATTAGATTTACAGATAGAGTTCCAAACGATTGAGAAAGTTTTAAATCCAGGTACATGTAGCAAGTGCGCTAAACAACTACGCTCCATAGACAGTCTCATAAAAAAATCGGTCAAGTATTATAATATTAAACAGTATAACATGAACGATTCTGACGATGTCGTTTCTTATACGTACGGTTTTGAATACTTGGTACAACAAGAAGTGAAGGTAAGAGCAGTCGGAGAGAATGTGACGTCAACACCCACTGTCAACTTGGGGTCTCTAGGAATGAAGGTTCGGTTGTGGTTACCAACCGCTAGAAATAAAGACTAATTGTACAGTAGATCAAGAAGAACAAAAATACCTTGCATTTAAAAACAGTCGTCAATAAAGGAGAAAAGTATAAGTATTGAAGATTCTAGCTGCTGAACTGTAGCTCACTGGTCTACCAAGAAAACTGAATTGTCGGACTAGTGAGCTACAGATCTGCAGCAATGCAGATTCCTCTATTAAAAATAAAGATAACGAACAGTATTCAAGCTCAAGCGTCCATAGAAACAAATTGTGAAGAGATCAAACACAGACCTTTAAAAACATCAGATGTGGGATCAGGTGCCTTAGAGGAGAAAGCATCCCACAATAATCACTTTTTAAATATATTTACATGAACATGTATATAGAAGATATGTATTATTTTGAAGTTGGATATGAAATGGACTGAAACGAATTTTTTTTTAGAAATATTTTTTTCATGGGTTAAAGAGGCGAAAATATGCTAATAAAATAATCTTTTCTTCACGTCTGAAATTGACCTTATCAAATTCCTAGCATAAAAATTTCTTATTATACATTTTCCTAGGGTGAATATGGATGTATAATTAATTTATATACGAGAAATTTAATGCTTTTAATATATACGAGTCCTAATTTGCATGATCTTGAACTGACCTTGTGAAATCAGGTAAGGACAGGTGTATAGAAGTCTTATGTTTATCATGTTCTGCATGGCATATGGATCCATTGTAACTCTCATCCAATTCATGCCAACAGGACCTAAAGAAAATCAGATACAAATCAATATAAAGGGCAGAGCCAGCAGGGAGTCTGTAGGCCCCCTCCCCATTGTTTTTATATTTATACAGTTAAGTTGACCAATATTTATCAAATTTGTAGCAGATTATTCTTTTGCTAAATGTTTCATTTAAATAAAAACGGATAGGGTCCTGAAACAAGGAGAAGGAAATATATATAAAAAAGTGATTACTGAGATTAAAATATCATAGAGTTGTTGAAGCACCTTAGGAGAACAGACATTTGTTAATTCAAGGTCACCTAAGTAATGAACTTAAATTGGACACTAAGGGGCCCAGAGAGATCAAACCTTGTCAGCTGGGGCATTTTCAGACCTCACGACATATTGAACTAAACTTTTAATTCACAGTGACCACATTTTTTAATTTCTTGGCTATTGATTAGAAAATCTTTTTTCCCCACATATTTAGAATACTATGAGGTATAGGGTCCAAAATATATGGGGAAGATATATCTTGGGAACCCAAAAAGGTCACATAGACATATGCATACTATGGAAATTTTCATATCTTTTTAGATAGAATCTTGAGATCTTTTTAGATAGTATCTCGATACTTTGAGTCCACGAATCATCAAAGTTTGTTGTTTGCTACATCCTGAGGGATAAAAATATGACATTACAAAATAGGTTACAGTGAACTACCTAAAGGACGATTCAGTGTCATTTATTTCCATAGATTAGATTCTTAGTTCAATGATCATCACGTACTATTGTTTGATGCATTTATGATTAGTGTGACAATCAAAGTATGCCAACCTGACCTACTTAAGGGGTGTTATGCTTATTCATTTTCAATCTTTTTTTACATGAAGGACTGTTAAATCCTGTTGGTTGATGCATCTCAGTACTGTCGAGTGTAATAATTCAAAAAGAGTTCGCCTCAGCGAATGTTACCTTTAAGCAAAACTAAGTCCCACGCTAAACCAATAATTTACATGTAGTACTGCGTATCTCAAAAGCAACATTTATATGCAATTTTTGGTTCAGGTAAGGCTTGCAGTTACTAAGTAATGGACTCTTTTTCTAAAAAGATTAAACTAGTCACTCATCCAGAAAATGCAGGTCAGATCTTGTATACGAAGTGGGTTTGGAAAGTTATTATTAATTCCAGTTAAGTGTGCCGTTTTGCATTACGTCACAACCTATGATGACAGCTGTGATCAAGGTATATAATACACGCCTCCTAACCGCAAACTTTATGACTGGTAGTTTCTTCTTATCCTTGATTGGTTGCTCGTGCAACAGACTATTTCCGTGTCAATGTTGATAAAATGAGTTGACCAATCAGACAGCGGCGTTGTGAATTGTTTACGCTGGGCGCATCTATCGAAAAAGATCGTGACGTAATGCGAAACGGCACACCTCACTGGAATTGATAATAAAACCTGGTTTCTCATCCAGAAAGTCAAATCCAGCGTCCGAAGCAAGTCTGATATTGGGCGTGATATATATGCCAAATCCATGTAAATTTTGTTAAGACAGGGCTTGAAGTTACTTTGGATTGAGCCTGTTCCAAAAACTTCAACCTGGAAATTGTAAGTAAAATCCGGCATCCGAAACAACTCTATTTGTGCATCCGTTGAAGCATCACACATGCAAGTTTGGTTAAGGTAGAACTTATAGTTCTTTTTTAAAGGAACATCCTCCAAAAACTAGTCACTCATCTGGAAACTACAGGTACGTCAGATCTACATGTAGCATCCGAAGCAAGTCCAGTAGTGTGCATTCATGCAAGTTTGGTCTAGGTAGGGCTTATAAATACACTGTAATTACTTGGGAATAGATCTGCTCCAAAACTTTAATCTGGTCACTGATTCTGAAAATATGGTCAGATCCAGCTTCCAAAACAAGTCCAGTGGTGTGCATCAAATTAATGTATCATCCTTGCAAAGTTAGTCATTTCCAAGTAACTATAAACCTATGCTGACTCTTTAGAATGAACCTGTTCCAAACAATATATACAGGCCATGAACCCAGTGTACTACTATTCACAACAAGACTAGTGGGTACCTGTTAGATTTAGGTATACGACTATCAAGTACCTGTTAGATTTAGGTACTCCACAGCGTCCGTCATGTTGTATTGTGCCATAGAGTCGGCTAGCAGCTTTCTCCACTCCTCTGACAACTGGATCCGGCCAGATTGTTTGAACAGTAGAAAAGAGTAGACATTAGGGGTGGGTGTAGATTTCATAGGCCCATGGTAGTCCTTGAAAATCTATCATAACCATGTAGTAATGATTTACATATATATATTTTTAACGTTCCCAAGTAATATAATAATAATAATCTTTCTTGCATGCTACAATCATATGGGTCAAGCAATAAGATTTAAAACAAAGAAAATTTCTACCAGATAAAAATTACTAGTATATGGAATAGGTTAACAGAATTTGAAGATAACGAATAGTAATCAGGGTCAAATATTCATTGAAACAATACAAACTGGGAGAAGGGCAAACATGGACATCTAAAAAGAGCAGATGTGGGATCAGGTGCCATGGTCAAGTAATTTACTCCGAATGGTACATGTATGTATCGATGTGGACCGTATTAATTCTTAATTCTACTCTGGTGATTGTTTAATGAAGGTGAAAACAGTCGATTAAAATTTGATTGTTGGGCTCTGTATACGTTCATGTTTCTGTATTGGTGACTTAGAAATAGAATGAGGAAAAATTATGTGACATGGTTTAGCTAACAAAGAAATAAACAAAAACGATATATTTGTTTTTACAGTAAAAGAGTTTCATTTTTATTGTACATACACACACATGTATTCTCAGAAGTTGATATTAAAATGATGCTTGAGTTTCTGATTGACAAATAATATTTATATATGTATAGATTTTGGAGATCAAACTTCCAACAATCTGTCGGGATTACCATGGGTAATGACTGCGCCCCGTTATTAGCAGACTTATTTTTGTAATTAAATGAAGCAGAATTTATTTAAAAAAAACTTTTATACGAAAAGAAGTATCTTGCTGTGGCTTTCAATTCAACATTTAGATAAATCGACGACGTTTTATCATAATATTATGTCAATATTCATTTTCATTATACGTTGATTCGATCCCTCATCTCGTAATAAAAGATACCAGGTTCCCTGTCCCTGTTTTGTTTCATGTACTCATATACGTTACTAAGACAAGATGGATTATGATCGATCTAGGGTGAATCTATCCTGTATACCCATTGTATTTTTCTACGCCTTCGATGCAATGCATCATTTTTGCGTAGTATTTAGTCAAAATTTACGTCTGTTTTTTACGGCAACGGCTCAAAAATCCACAATATAACTCAAATTGTGCTGAACAAATGCACTGGATGAACTCCCTTGGCTAGGATGAGGAAGGGAGGGGTTCTGACTCGTTACCAAATCCACTCAAACCCAGTACGTCAACTCAAAACCAAAAGGCAAAAGTCAACTCTTAACCAACACTCACCATACATAGGGTCGGAACCGGAGGAGCTGGGATTTAGCCCTCCACTTTTTTTTGCAAATATACACATAATATAGGCATTAAAAATTACCTTTTTTTGTTGGTTTAGCCCCCCTTTCAATTAGCCCCCCCCACCCCCACTTTCAACTTGCTTCCGACGCCTATGCCATAATTGCACATATAACGTAATGTTAAACCGTAACTGAGGGTATTTCAATAATATGCAGAGACTACCCCCCCCCCCCCCAAAAAAAAAAAGTATGAGGAATTAATTTAAAATAGATTGATGTATGTTCTATATATGGACCAGTGCATACAGACTTTAGCTCATAATTACATTAAAGATACTAAATTTATTACAAAAAATCAATTTTCTGACATTTATTTCGTATTATGTTTATGTTAGTACAATGAACACAAGGCCCATGGGCCACATCGCGCACCGAAGACTTTGGTTAGAAACTTAAGAGTCAACTCGTAACCAAAAACAAGGCAGGCTACGATTTAAAATTTACTTGGGTACGACTTCTCCCCTCAAAAACCAAGAGTGAACTCGTTACCGGAGTCCTACTGAGTAATTGTAATCAACTTGTCTTACGGGTTTTGGTTGAGTTGAAGTATTTGGTTCGAGTGGAATTGGTTACGCGTCAGGTTACGAAATGACTTGATATCACCAGGGAACAATGCTGAATCATAAATATACATCTACCTCAGCTGAATTGACGTCATTTCCGGGTATATTTATGATTAATCCATGATTAATCAAGGAACCTGCATCATAAACAATGATCGTGTAGAGTTCGCTCTGGTTGGCTTCCCACGTCATGGTTGGTCGCTTTCGGACGCTCCATGGCTTGTAAACAGTGGCCAGGGTAGGGTCTAACTCGAGTCGACGACTCTCCGTAACCGTCCATTCATTTCCACAGCCACTGTACGTTCCTTAATAAAGATTTTCATTTTAGCAGGATTTTTTCCCCAATCTGAACAATGTAAAAATTAACACTTTTATTTTTGTCCTCATATAATTAAACAAAAATTAAAGTAAAATGAAAATATTTCATACCTGTCCCTGTTTCAAAGGTCACATTCAGATATTTTGTAACCAGAGTTTCATTTAATGAGTAACCCGGCCCAAAGACACGGGAAATAAGACTGTCGGCTCGATAAGGGTGATAGTTGAAGCAATCCAGTGAAGCCCATGGGTTTGGACATCGGATGAAATACTGCGTCCCAAACCAGAAAAGATTTTTGTCTTTGGAGCTTGTCACGATGGAGGACAGACAGCTCGAAAGATCTGAGTTAAGATTCGCTTGGGAACAAGGGGAGGTGATGACCGCTGTCAAAGCAAATTCAAGAACCATCATCAAAGAAAATCTAGGTACATTGAGAGCCAATCAGGGTTATATAATAATCAGATTATACAGTAGGTATTGCCTATCAAACTCTCCATTTCCAACTTTGTATTAGTAACTAAAACTAAAAATGAAATCATAATAGGTCATCCACAACGGATAAACTGTAGTTTTCACCAATTAAAAGGTTAAAGTCAATTCAGTTTAGTACGTTGAGTTAAAATGCCACTAATGTCAGAAAAATATACCAAACGCCCAACATCAAAGAAGCCAGTTTCTCAAGAGTAGGGAAGTCAATTTCATCAATAATTCATATTCAAATATTCAGTGAACGTATTCGTATATTTGATAAAATATCTAAAATCTGGTTTATCAAAAATATACCTCATCCCGACCCACCTCTATGACAAGCTTGCGTCGGTATTCAGAACTAAAATTGTGTGAAGAATTTTGTTGAAATACAGCAAGGAATTCTACTTTTGAAATGAGCATATATTACCAAAATAATTTTGAAATTGAAATCTTGAAGCTCCAAGTGAAAAACCGGTCGGCAAGATTGTCGTATACTGTCCAGATTTTTATAGTTGTGTTTGATTACAGTAATGTGCCTGATAAGTCATCAATAATCTTTGATTTAAAGTTTTGAAAATGTATACAAGCACTTCCATAGACATTTTTTTCCTAAATTTAGTTGTTTAACAAATTTTCCGAGAATGATTATGAAAATGTACAAAAATTATCATGCAAATACACATGTAATTCAAGCATTTATTACATTTTCAACAGTGAAATACTGTGATTTATTAATTGAATAAAAGTGATATTCTCTCACAGTGTGAAAGGATACTAAAATGATATTCTCTCACAGTGTGAAAGATATCAAAGTAAGTAAAAAATAAGTAACTAAGCATCTTGATAGAGCTAAAACTGCAAATTTCTTCCCAAATATCTTGCTAAAATCCATGCTATGTAATGTTTTCAATCGCACAACTGCTAAGCTATGACGTCTCAACCGCTCAACTATGACGTCAGGCCTATGACACTGTTAAGAAAAGACACAGGCAAAGGGAAAATCAAAGAAAATGTAATAAACAGAAAATTCAATGTTTTGTAGATGAATATGGAATTTATTTCACTCGTGAGACAGGATTTTCTGATATTTTCACTCGTGCTTCGCACTCGTGAAAATATCAAAAAATCCTGTCCCACTCGTGAAATAAATTCCATATTCATCTACAAAACATTGAATATCCTCTATTTATTTTATCCTTAAATTGAGACCCTAAAAATACTACAGACTAATTCTATTCAACATGAAATTTGATGATCAATAAGATTTCCTTTGATAAGTGAACTTGTTACATCCTTTCGACAATCTAAGATGGGTTTTATGGTTGTCCTCGATTTTAGATCCGATTGTATTAAAAGACAGGGACTTTATCACTCAAACTCAATAAAAGGGTGCAAAGACCCAGTGGCATCGGTCATAAAATGGATTGTAAGAAAAAAGAAAAACGTTGATTGATAGTTAAAGATCAATAATTCAACATTACAAATACAATATTTTTTCAACAAGAATTAATGGGTTTCTGAGTTGTGACATTTTAAAGTTATGACATTTTATCATAAAATTTAACCTTAAAAATATACGTTACCAGGGGGTTTCATTACTTTTCAGTGGCTTAACACAAAATATTAGATCATAGATATCAAATTATAACAAGATATAACAAAAACACTTTGTGTACGTATTTAAAAACCATGGAATACTCGGAATGAGATTTATTGTTAGTGATATACCGTATGTTTAAGGAAATGGTATAATTTGAACTTTTCCCCTTTTTAGGAATATAAAAATATTGCGTGTTTTACACTCTACAAATAATTTATGAATGTTATACTAGAAGAAATATGATACAACAAACATTGAAAATATGTGTTTCAATCTTCATTAAAAGAATATGGATTTCGCCAAACAAAATGCAATGTCTTTGCAATCATTGAACAAAAAGGGACTAAAAATAACGTACATTTCATGAAAAAACATGTTTTGATTTGATAGATAAAAATTAAATTTTAACAATACTTATTCACTTACTTTTAAACAAATTTAGTGTAAATTATCTTATTGACGCAAATAACACACAAGTTAGTGCTGAAATATATTATGCAGGTGTCAATAAATGATTTTGAAGTCATTTGATTGTGAAAAGGGCAATTTTGTGCCATTACAGAAATAATTTTGGATTTTGTGATAAAATTTTCCGTAAATATTCATAATAATGATGAGAAACAATCATAAAAAGAATATTGATTTCTACTGAATAGTCAAAAACGGATTAATTTCCTACATTGTGATAGTCATATCCTTTGGAAATGTACGTTACCAACAAATTAATATTCCATTTTTTTATTCCATGCATGTCTAAAATATTATTTGTACCAAATTATACGATAAGGGTTTTTTCCTCACTTCTGAAAACATTTTTGTTTCTTGAAAGTTACTTTACAGTCTGTAAAATTGTTAAATTTGCAATCGTTAGAAATGTCCGTTACATTTCACAAACCCTAATCACGGCTGTATATAGCTTATGATTACATTCTTTCTTATTTGCCTTAGCCTTACTCTTTCCCGATAGTCTTTCTGAATTTCAGCTAGTGATTTTTCCATTTAGTTTAAATAGAAATGAAATAAAATTACATAACATGATGAGAAATGTTTGTTACCACATTTCATAAATGTTCGTTACTTATAAATATTGGACTAATTTTGAAAAAAATATTAAATTTTGAGAAGGAAACATCCATGATAAACATGATTATAAATGTGTGCATACTTTCTGTACAGTAAATGAAATGACAAAATGCCGTTTTGTCAAAATTTCAATAGATCAAGAATAATATTAAAAAAATTATCAATATGACATCTTTTAAAACACTGCGTTCACTGTGTATTGTTATTGTTTTAATTATATAAACAAATCAAAATTCAACTTATCATACATGTGGTACATTGTTTCTAATCCAATTAACTTCATAGACGGATAAAGAAATTAAAAAAAAATACTTCAATACGATATGATACCGAAAGTGAAATGTTCGTTACCATCTGTAACGAACATTTCTTTGTTTATTTTGAGCAATACTATAGATATACAGCACAAACATGGATGTCAAATTGTAAGCAGAGGTCTATTTATTCATTCTCAGTTGTTCTGTATAAATAAATATCATAATATTGTTCATAAATCACAGTACACATCAGTGTATTGACCAACCTTGTCTTCAGCATGAAGTATTTAAGAAATTGAATGTTTGAATGTTTCACCTTCAACACTGACATTCAAATAAAATGGCGGGTTGTAACTTCTATCCTTAAAACGCTTGAAGTTGCGTTTTCTCTCCGTTTAAAGTGACTGAATTTAAAACTATGTAACGAACATTTCAGTAACAAACATTTCAAACAAGCACATACCATGGAATATTGATTCGAATGAAAGTAGGATTGCTGATATAAATGTTGTTTTTCTTTGCGACACACATTAGCTTTGTAATGAAATAACCAGCCGACGTGAAGATAGTACTTTTAGTTGCATGAATACGGTAACGAACATTTCATTGTTATTTCATCGCAGAAAGAAGGCAAAGTTACAGACTGAATTAAATTTATGGAGAGGGCTAAAATAGGCTATGCCTGCTGCCTAATCCCATTCACTTCATGTGAATAAAATTATGTATAAATAAAAAAAAAAAAATTAAATTTATGCGGATGAAAGTTGAATTGTATATGTATTAAGAAAGGATGTTTATGATAGTTAGCTACATAAAAAAATCGCATCGCTTGTCTGTAGTTATATTTGTGTATTGATAAGTAACGTTCATAATATTTTTATTTGGCGATATTTATCTTGTGTCTTATTTGGCGACATTGCTTTAAAATCAAGTACAGAACATAAAATCAGTCAAAAAACATCGATGTTATTTTTAATTTTCAGACTTTGATATGTTTAATCTTAAATGATATTATTTTTTACGGTTTCTTTTCTTTAAGTTTTAAAATTAAGCACCTTAAGTCCAAACTCTGTTACCGGCGACAGTAACGAACATTTCAAAATGACACATTTGGAGGTAATTTACGCAAGTTTTAATGAAGTCAGACAGCTGTTACATAAGGGTTAGTTTAATAAGTCTGCAAACATTAAAATAACATTCAATCATTTGAAATGTAATGCATAGTTTGAAAGTATTTCACAGGCGACAGTAATTGCACCCTTTTATTGAGTTTAAGTGTATACTTAAGTACTGCCAACTTCAAAATCTCAAACATTCCACTTGAGTGTTCACACGTCACTAAAATATCCAAATTCTACAACAGTCCTGGCTTCTTGACCAGTCTGTTGACAGGGGTTTACAAAATTATTCTCCTTAGTAAAGACTGTTTAACACTAACAATGCAGTAAGAGTAGTCTAAAAAAAATATACTTGAACACAAATTCCAACACTAATGAAAAATATTTTTTGGACATTGAAAAAATTACACTCATAATGATTTTATTAATTTTATTTTCAACATAAGGTACCCGCCATTTACCCCGAGAAAAAACTGTTAAAGACAAATGATTCACTGATCCACAGAAATCACTTCTGCGTATACTTATCGATGGGGAAAATAAGTGCAAATAATGTGTTCATTTATAAATCTGCATTGGTCTTATAAAATGCTAAGATTGCTTGGATTCTAATTGCTTGAAAGAACTCTTTAGTGCGCAGTGTGTAGAGGGTCCTTAATAAACTAAGCGGTATAAATTGTTGAGGACGAATGAATGGACGCACTGGTCAATATTTGCTTGATCCCAAAGAAGACCATGTAGAGCGGTTTTCAGCGTTTCCAAATAGTAGTTATTGCAAAACATTTAAAATGTCCGAAACAGGTTCTTTTGCACTCATATTTTCAATGAATAAAAAGAATTTTCAATTTGCGCATTAACAAATTGCTGAAGATAAAGATATTGTAATTGAATAAAGATACTAAAAACGTATTATAATTTCTTTGAAACAGAAAACGGGTATTCACTGCACAGTTATCGTAAATTAAAAAAAAAATCGGTTACAGTTATGAAACTTCTTGACACACATGCAGGGTGTGGATATAGGTGTATATAGGTGATTATTTTGGGGTGAACGGTGCATTTTTGTTTCCATCTTATAAAATGTAAATCGGCAGGAAAAAAAGACTTACCTGAAATGCAGCCGAAGAGAACTGCTACCTGTAATACCTGTATCTGATACATGGCACGGTCCATGTTCGTACGAACCTTAGATCACGGCTCACTACTTGTGACCCACAGAGAATGTTTACAAACATAATATGAGCGATACTTAATCTGTAGGCATGGATCCAAGATTTTTACATATTAAGGGTTTATTGTAAGGAGGATCTCTACACCTATGGGGTCAAAGTGATTTTCGTTACATGGATTTTAATAGATTCAATATCCAATAAAAAGAGCTCCAAAGTATTTAACTATATTGATAATGATTTAAAATATTTAATTTATTTTGTAGAAATTCCTTAAGCTTATATGCTTTAAAATTTGTTTGAAAGGTCAATATTATAAAAATTAGGACTGAACTAAAGCATGTGCGATCTAGAGGTAGTGATGGGCGGGATTTAGCGGGTCCGGACCCCCTGGGTTTTCCCGAGTTATTAAATTTATATAGCAGAACTATGCAGACCAGACTGAAACCCACCTTTCAATCCCTCATTTTTAGGAAAAAATAGGCTTATATATGAAGGAAAGCGGCTTGTACAATAAATGTCTAATACCCCCTCCTTCCCCTGCGACATACGAAATAGGAGTTTAATTGGACCTTTTTCATTTGCTTGTTAAAAAATATTCCTGAGTAGAATATCTTTTTGAGAGGGTATGGACACCTTCTAGATAAATCTATAAAAATCCTGGATCCGCCTTTGGAAAAAAAAACACACAGACTTTCCTTTAGTTAATATAGCAAACTTTGTTTTTGACATTTCTTCGACATTTTGAATGTATAATATGAAAACAATAAATCGATGTATTTCATTGTTTTTGCGTGATGGGTCGCATTGAGATGGATAAAAAAATGCATTTCATTTTCATTCTTCATATATGGATTCACCAAAAAAATATATATCCTTTTTTTCATGTCGAATATGCATTAAGTATAATTTGACAAATATCGACTTGCTTTATAAGATTTTACATCCCAACTTTTACATTAAAATTCATATTATCTGATTTAGATTTTCCGATAGAAAATCGATGAAATGACGTGGGCTTATGAAGTTTACCTTTTCTACAATATGTGATTCAGCTATGGTGACATCTGTCCCAAACTTAGATGAATAATTATCGATTTTCTACATTGAGAGAGGTTCATTTAAGGTCTTTCATTGCATTAAATAACTTAAAATAATTTGTCTTTTAAAATAATACTTAATAAAATAAGGTTTGAGAGCATTTTCTTGTAGAAGCTCTGGAGCAGTTAAGATTTTCGCTAATCAAAACAGGGAGATGGACTAGACAATATTTGTCCCCTTTCTGGTGCCCCACCCAGGTTTGCTTCAGATGGGGAGATAGACAACTTCTTGCCACGCAGCCCAGGAAGAAGAGGCGAGGAAGTCTAGAGGATAGGGCGGGTTATAGGAGAGGGATATACAAGAGGGAGAGAGAGAAGACGTTGGTATCCCCCAAGACAACTAAATCTTCATAGAGAACCAGGTTAGTTTTTTTTCCCTTTAAGGTATTCAAGTATTCAACTACCGGATTACTTGTTTTATAAAATGTACAGATTATTTATAGTTTGAATTTTTTTTTTGCAAACTTTATTCAAAATCAGAATAAATATTTTCTCTCTTGAAAAGCGTGTGTGCATAGTTAGAGCTTTAGAAGGAAAGGTCCAATGCAAAGAATTGCTTCATTCATTTTCTTGCCATAATTTAGAAATTTGAAGACTTTCATTAATCACAAATTATCTAAGTAGATCAATTCTATGCAAATAATTATTTAATTGTAGCAATCCGATATATATACTAGTACTTCTAGCGCATGAATCCTTCATTCTTGCTCAGAGTTCGCAATATATTTTCAGAATGTTGGTTTAGAAAATGTAGATATTTTGCCAGTTTCAATGCTTTTAAATAACAAATATAATCATGAACATGAAATCAAATAAATAAATAAATAAATAAATAAATAAATAAATAAATAAATAAATAAAAAAAAAAAAAATAAAATAAAAATGAAATACTGCCAAAAAAAATTGCACTCTGAGTGACTTCCCTTTATGACCACGTGTTACTATCCAGCTGTTACGAGAGCGCTCAATCACATTCGTGCCTATAGTATTGAATCGACGGTCCATCCAATTACATCAAAAGAATTCGCAATATATGCACTGTTATTTCCCTTTTTTCTAATAAGAGACAACTTAAACTGACAATGATCGACGGTGATTAAAAATGACGAGCTTTTCGCGGGAGAATTGCAAAACTTTAACACAATATGGTCATTTTTTGTATTAAGTGTATCTGTTACAAAGGGTATACAGAGTCTTTCCTTGAAGATTTTATTTAAACTTTAATAATATTACCTTAACAGTACTTTGTTCTCTATACTTCACAGATGCAACAATTGATTTATCACTGGAGGACCTTATTAATGGTCACAAAATCACATATCCAGTTGTTGCGTTCGTTCGGAAGCTCAACAAAGATCGTCTAAGTAACAGATCGGTGGGACTTTCGTTCGATTGCAATGATTGGGTTCAACATCGCTGGATAATGGTCAGTACCGGTTTAGTGGTCAATGGCATTAACAGATAGCGGCTACAAAATGTGTAAGATATTTTTCATCGGACGGAAGCTTAAACCATGAAGCCACCACCAGGAACCTATTTGGATATATTGATATATACGAATGACTGATACTTAGTTCTCTGATTGGCTTAAATCATTTATTCTAGATCTATAAATCATTATCAAAATTTTTGTTCATATGCAGCTGAAATTCTAAACATATTTGATTTTTTCTAACCCCCCCCCCCCCAACAAGACTACAAAAAAAAAAAAAGAAAAAAAAGATCGAGAACTTCCAAATTGATACGTCGACTGGTAGCTGCAATAATGTAGCCCTCTCCGATTTTTTTTTAATCTGATATTTTCTGGAGAGGGCTACAATTCCACTGCATCTCCGTAATGGTGCAAATATATTTTTTAGATACGGGCGACTGCAGGCAAAATAAATTGTTTTTGCATTCAACTTACTTCCAATAAGACGGAATTTTTATTCACTATCAACATCATAGCCCTTTATGAGCGAAAACCAAGTAAAATAAATCTGCGTGTTTACCAGTCGTTCTCTTCAGCAGCCATGACAGTTCTCGCGTGATGTACAGAGACTTGCGCTTGAATTTTAGAATCACTTGATAAAGTAAATGTCGGTGTTGATAAATGTTTGTGTGGTATGATATCACTAAACATCGATAAATAAAAGCATTCCATGTGATTTTTTTTTCATAAACAGTGATATTTATGCTTAAAATAAGGGAAATCCTAAACGATCCGCTCCCCTAGATCCCGATTTCTCATTGGTTGTCCCAAAATAAAATCGATCAAGGTCAGTAAACATGGCGGATAAATTCAAGTTGTGATGTTGACATATACGAAAAATAACCGATATACGGCTTGTTCTGTATATTTTTGGATCAATTCATGTCTTGCATAACTACATTTTATGAGTTCAGGTAAGATATGTTAATAAAATACCACTTACTGATAATTTGAGCCGAAATCTGTGCGGTAGTGAATCACTCCCGCACTTGCACCATTACGGAGATCCTAAGGAGTTGTAGCCCTCTCCCCCCCCCCCCCCCCCAAAAAAAAAAAAAAAAAAAAAAAAAAAAATCGGGAGAGGGCTACATTATTGCAGCTAGTCGACTGGTTATGTTACTTTTTGGTTCCAGGTCTCTCACTGCGTTTGACTAAAATTTCAACAGACGTAAATATATGTATAACAATGGAAATGACAAAGTTTGCTAAACGAATTGATCCCTTCGTCGCAGGTTCGAATCCCACGGCGTGACGTGTATTACTTGTCCTTCGGATGAGGCCACGACAAACTGTCACAGAATTTCGAACATTAGAATATCATTAAAGATGTAAAACACACCCACCCACCCCAAAATCCCGTAGTTTAATTTTTGTTCTATATTTATACATGACTATATCTACTACATGTATGTGTACTCACATTTTGGATAAAATTGTACTAATCGTTTTTAGACATTATTTGAAGCTAAAAAAATCCCCCCCCCCGGCTTTTCACAATTAAGGAGAAGGAATTTTACACTAACCGGCTATAAAATTCACGATTTTCGAAAAAGTCCGATTAATATAGTTGGTCAACTTTGTTGACACATGGATTTGACCATAGAAGACATACATAAGTAATTTGTAGTGGTACACATAGACAGAAACAGTTTAGAAGAACTTATACTGAAAAAAAAAAAAAACAACTTTGGTTTATCTTAGCCATGAAAAATGAATGTGTTTCAATTTAAATATGTTTTTAATGAAGAAAAAAAATCTATCGTTTAATTTGAAAAAAAAAAAATTCTCTTCATGTAGCTTGCTGTTAAAATAACCTTGATAATTTTTTGTTGTTTTTAAAAAGAACCGTATTGAATGAATATGATACGCGCTATGTACGAGAATATGAAATCCTGTGTGAAATCGGCAAGAATGCTATCAGAGGTTTTTGAAAATTCTCTTGGTCTCTTACAAGGAGAAGTTCTGTCCCCTATCTTTTTTTCATTGTATGTAAATGATTTTGAAATTGAGTTTATAAAAAATGGTAATGTTCCTCTTGAACTTCAAGAATTGAATCTTTTTACTTTGATGTATGCAGATGACATGGTCTGTTTTGCGGAATCTGTACAAGATCTACAACAATTGTTAAATACTTTGTATAATTACGCCTCGAAATGGGATCTGACCATTAATGTTGAGAAAACTAAAATTGTTGTTTTTAGAAATAAGGGAAAGGTTCATGATAATGAAAAGTGGCATATACATAATGAGCAAATAGAAGTTGTAGATAAATTTATGTATCTGGGTGTTTTATTGAACTACAATGGAAATTTTAACGTAACTCAAAAACAATTGGCATGTCAAGGAAGAAAAGCAATGTTTTGTCTAAAATCTAAGGTTAGTCAATTGAGTTTAAATACTGAAACTATGTTCTCACTTTTTGATACATATGTCAGTAGCATACTAA